TCACAGGCAAATATGCGGGCCGCAGTTTGCTGCAGCAGATGGCTCGCCGCTGCTACAAATTGCTGCGGAAGACGCTGCAGCTAAACCAAGACAAATGTAAGCAACTTGCTGCTGCTGCTGCTGCTCCTGCTGCTGCTGCTCCTGCTGCTGCTGGTGCTGCTGCTGCTGCCGCTGGTGCTGCTGCTGCTGATGCTGCTGTTGCTGCTGCTGCTGCTGCTGGTGCTGCTGCTGGTGATTCTGGTGTTGCTGCTGTTGATTCTGGTGTTGCTGCTGCTGCTGTTGTTTCTGATTTTGTTGCTGCTGCTGCTTGTGCTGCTGATTCTGTTGCTGCTGCTGCTGATCCAGTTGGTGGTGGTGTTGCTGCTGATACTGTAGTTGCTGCTGCTGCTTCTTTTGCTGCTGTTGCTGCTGTTGCTGCTGCTGCTGCTGCTTCTATTGGTGCTGTGCCGGTGATAGTATAAGCGACGCTGGAAGCGGTGCTGCTGTTGCTGCTGCTGCTGCTGCAGTTGCTGCTGCAGTTGCTGCTGCTGCTGCTGCTGCTGCTGCTGTTGCTGCACCGTATCTGCTGCTTCTAAGGATTGGTACGTGTGTGTGTTTATGTTGCGTATGCTGCAGCAGCAGCCGCAGCAGCAGCAGCAGCAAGAACAGCAGCAGCAGCAGCAGCAGTAGCACTACCAGATCTAGACTATCGTTTGCTGCTGCCGCAGCAGCGGCTGCTGCTGCTGCTGTCGCATATACTAGCAATGATAGGCAGCAGCAAAATAGCAACAGAAGAAACAACAGAAGGAATGCAGAGGCTGAGGCTCGCGCTGCTGCTGCTGCTGAAGGTCGTCAGGTTTGAACCCCACCAGCAGCAGCAGCAGCAGCAGCAGCAGCAGCAGCAGCAGCAGCAGCAGCAGGGACAGCAGCAGCAGCAGCAGCAGCAGCAGGAGGGTAAATGCGACAAGAAAGAAACAGAAGAGGAGGACTCGTCAACAGCAGCAACAGCAGCAGCAGCAACAGCAGCAGCAACAGCAGCAACAGCAGCAGCAGCAGCAGCAGCAGCAGGAGGTTGTTCGAGTTGCATTGAGGCTCCTCTGCTGCTGCTGTATTCTCCTGTGTCTTTGCTGCTGCGTGCTTCTGGTTTGCTGCTGGAGATGGTCTGTCTATACACCCGATGGAGGGAAGCAGCAGCAGCAGCAGCAGCATATGCTAGTGTTCCGCCGCTGCTGCAAGAAGCAAAGCTGCTGCAGCAGCAGCAGCAGCAGCAGCAGCAGCAGCAGCAGCACCTCTGGGAAATGCTGCAGCAAGTGCATGCGTCTCAGCAGCTGCTGGCGAGCTGTATTGGAGCCCAAGTAACACTGCTGCAGGAGCACAGCAGCAGCAGCAGCAGCAGCAGCAGCAGCGAGAGCAGCACGGCAAAGGAGGGTGAGGCAGAGGCGGAGCAGCAGCAGCAGCAGCAGCAGCAGCAGCAGCATGCGTACCAGCGAGATGCAGCAGCAGCAGCAGCGTCTGCTGCAGCGTTGCTGCTGCTGCTGCAGCAGCGTCAGGTGTATAGGCAGCAGCAGAAAGCTCTATGGCAGCAGCAGCAATACTGGGATAAGGAATACAGAGAAGCAGCAGCAGCAGCAGCAGCAGCAGATGTGCTGCGTGTAGCTGCAGCAGAAGTCCCACCGCCCCCTCTCCTCTGTGGCCGCTGCAGCAGCAGCAGCAGCAGCAGCAGCAGCAATAGCAGCAGCAGCAGCAGCAACAGCAGCAACACTTGCACGTTGTCTATTGTCCCCGCTCGACTTCTAGGCAGCAGCAGCAACAGCAGCAACAGCAGCAGCAGCAGCAGCGCGGCATCAGCACCATCCTCCTCCTCATCATCACCATCAGCAGCAGCAGCAGCAACAGCAGCAGCAGCAGCAGCAGCAGCAGCAGCAGCATTGTTTTGTTTGTCTCCTGTTGCTGTTGACACGCGTGAGCTGCTGCGGAGCCTGGAAGGCCTCGCAGACTTCTGGGGGGAGCAGCAGCAGCTGCTGGCAGCAGAATACCATCTGCATGCAGCAGCAGCAATAGTACAAGAAGCAGCAGCAGATAAACAATATAAACAGCAGCTGCTGCTAGATAGACTGCAGCAGCAACAGCAGCAGCAGCAACTGCAGCAGCAGCAGAACACGCAACAAAACCAAGACACACAACCAGCAGCAGCACCAGCAGCAGCAGCAGCAGCAGCAGCAGCAGCAGCAGCAGCAGCAGATAGCTGCGACACAGATACATTATATTTTGGTTGTGTTCCTATTGTCTCCTTAGTGCAGCACGAGCAGCAGCAGATTGATGAATTTGCTGCTGCACTGCAGCAGCAACTTGCTGCTCTTTTTGCTGCTAGACTGAAGGCTTCGCGGCAGCTGCAGCAGCAAGGGCTGGAGTTTGCTGCTGAGTGGCTGCAGCAGCAGCAGCAGCTGCTGCAGCAGAACCAACAGCAGCAGCAGGATCAATC